TCGAATGCCTTCTCCAAGTCCACAAAACACATGCAGACTGGATGGGCAAACTCCCATGACCCTCCTGATAATGCTAGTGAGGTTAACTTTAAGTCTGATAACAAAATTCTCAACCATGTTCCTGTCTGTTGTGGGCGTGTCTCAAAGAGTCTGATTGGCACGCTATTGGCTTATTATGTGTACACGTGACAAGACGTGATTGGTCGACGTCGCTTCAACTGGAAGGCAACAAAGACCTGTGATGCAGACTGAGTGACAGTCATCAGAGCGGTTTGTGGTTTAGCTTTAGCTTTTTAAATTTTTTATTTATATTTTTATTTCTTTATTACCTGTTTAGTGGTTTTGCGTTAACAAAGCTAACGTTGTAGTTAGCGGGAAAATGGGGTAGCGAATCTAACCTTTTGATTAGTTGTGCACTGCCCACCACTGCTGACCTAATAAATAAAAGTACTTTATAGTTGTGCTCTTTTGCACAGATTGAACTTTATTGTAAAAAAAATGACATATTGGGTTCCATCTGATTTAGTTTATATCTGTTGTTTTCTGTGTACAGATTAGACTATTATTAGGGTTCTTTTAATTTCTTTGTTCTTGAGTACCGTAATTAGAGGTTGGAGGAGTCGTCTGTTTTTACCGCTCTAGTGAAGTTAAACAGGTCTTAAACAACAACACTTAAACAGGTCTCTCTTGTAAATGAGTCGTCGTGGCTCATTGAGATGAACCTGTATAAATAAAGGTTGAATGAATGAATGAAAGTTGAGGATCTGTTTGGTTGGTCCGCATTTAAGAAGCTAAGCCTAAGGGCGCCATTTCAAGACAAAATTTCAAACACTAGTCTTTAAATTGACAATATAAAAGTTAGTTAAATTGGACTAGTTTGATGTTTAGTCTTTTTGAGTCAAATACAAGCCTGAAAATTATTCTTCCTCCAGACTGGAGCATGGCATGAAAAGTTTGAGAACCACTGCCATATTCCCCAGATTTTGACTTTAAAAAAAAAAGTTTAATCTGCAGCTAACGTAACATACTGAGCATTTAATGGTTGATACTATAAAAGTAAACTGCACAATATACATAAAATGATTTTAAACTGATATGTAGAAAGCATTTGCAAGTTAAGTTAAATCAATGAAGGCTGAGACGGGGGTTGACGGGTTAAATGTGTTGATGCAATCTAAAAACCCACAGGAGAGTTCCTTTTTAGTTGGGAATACTGGACGGCTGTAACAAGGTCTCTGGAGAAACGTAGAGAAAAGCACAATAAACATGCCACAGGAACGATGGATTGTCACTTTGGTTGTCTGATTTACAACCTGGTGACTTCCTTCCTCCACCTCCCTTTACAAGAGAGAACCCAGTGGAGCTGCCACGTGCCAGAGTGATAAAATAACCCCCCTGCTCTGAGGGGCAATTTAGACCTCAACCAAACCTGGACAGGTCTGGTTTGGAGACTCTTGACCTCATGTTCAGTTAGGCTGTCTTCAGCTGATGTCAGGTTTACTGTAAATAAAACTGGACACCTGAAAATAGTCTCCCTCCAACTTCAACTCCCGGATCACTCCTGCAGCGCAAGAATGTGTCCATACATCACAGAACAGAGTTTACTGAACCTCCCAGAAAATAATTATTGAAGTTCCTCTACAGCTGATTAACTTTTCCAGTCAGTCTAATTCAAGAGTCACAGCTAATCAACCTTACCCAACACAAACATGGCTAACTTGGACAGTTGCACAGATATTTGAGCAGATATGTGGGCAGCACGCTGGATTAGTGGTTTGCGTTGTTGCCTCACATTAAGAAGGTCCTGGGATCAATCCCCCATTAAGTCCTGGTGTCTTTCTGTGTGGAGTTTGCTTATTCTCGTGTTTACGGGTGTTTTCTCCGGGTATTCCGGTTTTCGCCCACAGTTCAAACATATGCACGTGCAGGTAGTCTCAATTAAAAAAAGTGATCGGTGATCTCAATGGGATTTGCCTGGTTAAATAAAGGTTTAAAAATAATAATAAAAGCCAAATTCTACTGTGGTACTAGCTAAGAATCTTTCATAATTTATAACCTGAACGCTCACAAACTGGATTGTTCAACATTGGTTTCAACTGTAAATTTGAGATTTTGGACAAAACTATTATAATTCTGACATTTTCAATTTAAGATTACCATATTTTTCAGCCTATAAGTCACGTTTTTTTGTATAATTTGCATGCCCTGTGACTTATTTGCCAAAGCAATGTATTTAAGGATTTTTTTCCTATATTTATAAACCAATTTTTGGCTGAGATATGACCGTTTTCATTCATTCTGACTGAAAATATTGAACACTACCATTTTCAGCCACTATAGCACTCGAGTACTGTGGCATGCTGTTGTGTCATGTAATAGGTAAAAGTAGCTATTGATGACACAATCAGCTTGCCATAGCCTGCCACCTTCGTCCAGCTCCATGATCATGCCTGGAGCAACCATCAAATCAGCTGCATTTCGCTGCATCGCCCTGGCGAAATGCAGCTGATTTGACTATTGAAGTGCATTTATTAAGTAAAAGTTCAACTGAGACACACCTTTACTATAATGTCAAGCAAACAAATACTTGTTTTTAAGTGCAAATCTTGTTAAATTATTGTTAAAGTCCTCCTGTGCATGCTCCCGCGGCCGCCATTTGGCAGCCATTTGATTTTTGGCACAACACCGGCCCACATTTCCAGGTTGTCAGCGGTGACGCATAATAGATGCGACGTATACGGCAAAATGACATATTTATGTATTTTTCCACTTTGACATATTTGGACTGATGCGATTTATAGGGCAGTGCAACGTGTACGGCAAAAAATACGGTATTTTACTTTAAAACTCAGCAAGAAAGGCAGCGGGCGATATGCTTTGCTCCAAAGGGAGTTAGGTTTTCAACAATACATGAAACGGATTATTTCAGCCAAAAATGACAATGGACCAATATTTACCAACATGTCCTGTGCACAGTTTAGAAAAATTCAGACTTCTAACCAAATTTTCTAGACGATCCCCGTTTAATAAATAAATAAATAATATGAATGTGCAATTGACAATGAAACTAAGACGTTTTCTTCAAAAATCAAATCCATACCATCCACATACAGCAACATTTTCCTTTACAAATAACAACATGTGACCATAAGTTGCTTATGAAGCCAGTCATCACTGAGGATTATTTTTTATTTGACTCCTACATTACTTTTGGGAAAAATGTTTAAAGGAGGAAGGAAACGTCCCTCCTGGTTCCACACCTACAACACACAAACGCTCCAGTTCCTGTGTGAAAATACACAAGTCATCACGGAAAAACACAATTACTGCAGAAACTTTGAGCTTTTTAAATATAAATTATTACTCAAGAATGCATCAAAAACAGGAACAAACCGTGAAGCAGGATTCTTTCTCACCAAACATCCTTTTACTTCATGTACACACTTTATTTATTTTATTGAAAAACTCAACACTTTATTAAGTGGCTCTCTTCTGTGTCATATTCAGTCTTTAACTTGTTCTGGTCAAAGGTTCAGGTGGAGGTGAAGCTTTAGAAACAATCATGAACTTTTGAGGGAAAGCTTAAAAAAACCCCGTTCATTGGCCCGTTTTCTTCTATAAAACTGCATCTTTAATTTACAAACTCTCCAAATCAAAAGAAAGCAAAAGTGTGGTTAAAAAAAACAACAAACTGCGTCAACTGTCCTCCCAGTCCTGCAACAAGAGGATAAATGGACTAAGATATGCTGGTCATTATGCATTATTATTCATAAAAGAGGGTGTGTTATTGTTGGCACCAGAGCAGCGGTTGTTTTAGGAGGGAAATTAAATTGCTCAGTACTGATTGCTCAATTATATAATAAAGCCTCTACATGATGTCAAGTCTGTTTCTTTTTAATACAAATATAAAAGAGATCATG